TACGGACAAATTATCGAGTGGAAAATGGACGCAAAAAACAGGTGACTTGATTTTATTCATCGTTGCGGGAAATAAAGACGCATTACGGTGACAGCACATTTGCGGTTGCATTTGCACGTGCGTGTGTGTGTGTGTGTGTGTGTGTGTGTGTGTGTACGATATTATGAGTGTATTTATGTATGTATGCTTGTTTGTATGCATGTGTGTATGTGTACATATTAGTTTGTACAAAAGAAGAAATTTAGAGTAAAAATTAATGGATATAACATATAAATAATGTAGATTAAATTGTACATACATATTTGATTATATTGTGTATATATGTTAATTATATTTATGCATATGTATGTTTGAATGTGTGTATGTGGGCATGCATGTGTGTGTATGTGCATGCATGTGTGTGTGTGTGTGTGTGCATGTGTGTGTGAGTATGTGTCTTGATAATTTAACTTAAAAGCTACTTAAGGCGAAAACCTACAAAAATTATCTGTTAATACCACTTACTGATGCACTGTTCATCGGTTTCCAGCAAGGTGAGCAACATGCCATGCATTTTTTAGTATTTTTCCTTTCGATTTTATTTTCTCATAAATTTATTGCTTTTTCAAATAAAACTGATTACAAAAACACATAATTGCGCGCTGCTTTCCTGTCTCTCACTGGTGCACTCCACAATCCATTCGTTTGAATAAGAAAATGTAGTACTGTTCGGCGGAATGTGTTAGCGAAGTGGAACATTGAATACATACTTTATTCGTTCTTACCGGAATTTTAACAATTTACAAACTTTTATTTGCCCCTTCGTATTTTTCAAAAATTTCACGGCGTAATTTCTGCACTTCCGCTAAAGAATTGCATTGTTACAATGTTATCGTTTTCATTATTATTGCTAGCAAGTTATTATTTCACTTATCTAAATATTTATATTAACACGTTCTTCCGCATAGGGTACAATATAAAGTATTATATTATTAATCACATTGTTATTGGTCTTATTGTTGTTGTCAATATTATTATTGTTATAATTACTATATGCCATTAATTTTAAGGATGTTATTATTATCGCTGTTATTATTGTCATTATTATTATTATTGTCATTATTATTATTATTGTCATTATTATCATTATTATTATTATTATTATTATTATTATTATTATTATTATTATTACCAATATTATAAAATGAAAACAACTATTCAGACAACATTTGAAAAATGGCTTACGT